CAGGATATTCAACTCTGTTCCATTGGTCTGCAGGTCTGTTTCTAGCCCAGTACCATGCTGTCTTCATTACTACTGCTTTGTAGTACAGTTTGAAGTTGGGGAGGGTGAAGCCACCCATCTTCTTTTTCCCAAGGATTGTTTTAGCTATTCGTGGGGGTTTATTGTTTCATCTGAATTTCAGGAGTGTTTTGTCTATTTTTTTGAAAAATGTCATGGGTATTCTGATAGGGACCACACTGAATTTGTATACTGCTTTGGGCAGTATTGCCATTTTGATGTTAATCCTCCCTATCCATGAGCAGGGAATGTGTCTCCATTTCCTAGTGTCCTCTTTTATTTCTTGAAGTAGTGTTTTGTAATTTTCCTCATATAGGTCCTTCACCTCTTTGGTTAAGCCGATTCCAAGGTACTTACTTGATTTTCTGAGGTACGATTGTGAACGGGATTGTTTTTTTAATGTCTATTTCTTCTCTTTCGTTAATTTGTTTAAGAAAGCCATGGACTTTTGGGTGTTGATTTTGTAGCCTGCCACTTTACTAAACAGACCTATTGTTTCTAGGATCTGTTCTGTAGAATCTTTAGTTTTTCTAAGTATAGTATCATATTGTCTCCCGAAGACGCAAAAAAGCACAGTAGAAATGACATCTGTATCTATATGTTCATTGCAGCACTGTTCACTACAGTCAAAATATGGAAACAACCCAAGTGCCCTAGAACAGATGACTGGTTAAAGAAACTTTAATATATCTACACAATGGAATACTCTGCAGCTGTCAGGAGAGATGAAGTCATGAACTTTGCTTATAAATGGATAGACATGGAGAGTATCATGCTGAGTAAAATGAGTCAGGAAGAGAGGGACAGACATAGAAGGACTGCACTCATTTCTGTAGTTTAAAACAACATAACATGAAGCTGACACCTAAGGACAGTAAATACACAGGACAGATAGACTGCTCCATAGCTGGACGCCTGTCTCATGAGCAAAGGGGAGAAAGCAGATGGAATAGAGAAGGGATAACTAAGAAAATGGTGGCTGGAGGAATCAGTCAGGATGGGAGATGTGTGCTGAAAGTAGATAAAGGACCAAACATGATAATCTCTCAGGGTCTGTATTGCAAACCATAATGCCCAAAAGTAGAGAGAGATTATGGGGAATCATGTCTGCTATGAAGGCAAGGGGAGGATGGGAAAGGGGGTGGAGGTATACCGGGGATGTTGGTGGTGGGGAATGTGCACTGGTGGAGGGATGGGTGTTTGATCGTCGTGTGATTGTAACCCAAACATGAAAGCTTGTAACAGTCTCACGGTGATTCCATAAAATTAAAAAAAAAAAAAAAAAGGAAGCTCTTAAATTTTCTGACAAGTATCCATATTTTTTTTCTAAAAAGTTGAACAAGCAACATTCCCAACAGCAGTGGATGAGGGTGCTTCTTTCCCTACATACATGCTGAAAATAGTTGTTTTCTTTCGTTTTGATGTACACTAGTTCACTGATAGAAGGTGCTATCTCATTTTGATTTGAATTTCTGTATCCTAATTTTGAATGAGACCAGTTGTAATTACCTCCGGCTCTGGGCATATCTCTTTGATTCCACTGTTCTTCCTGCATTAACATATGCCTCAGAGACCTGGGCCCTACGCAAACAGGATGAGAGCAAACAGGATGAGAACGCTATTCAGGTCTCCCAAAGAAGAATTGAAAGAGCTATGCTTGGACTATCACGTTTCACTCAAACGAGAGAAAGAATCCGGAGTTCCGACATCCGTCGACGATCAAGAATCAGGGACGCTGTCTTGTTTGCCAAGGTGTCAAAAATCAGATGGGCTGGTCACGTAATGAGATTTAAAGACGACCGCTGGACTAGAGCTGTTACCGACTGGATTCCACGGGATGTCAAAAGACCGCTTGGCCGCCCACCTACCAGATGGTCAGACTTCTTCATCAAGATCATGAACGATAGGTTTGAGGCTCTTCATGTTCCCAGAGCGAACAGATGCCATTGGGCTACACTAGCACGCGACAGGGACAAATGGAGACGTTACTGGCGCCCGCTCAAGCAAATCGACGACTAACGGGAAGTTAAGTGATTAAGTGATTATCCTAATTTTATAGGGCTGTAGCGATAGCACAGCTGTAGGGCGTTTGCCTTGCATGCAGCCCACATGGCTGAGCCAGGTTCGATTTCTCCACCCCTCTCAGGGAGCTCGGCAAGCTACCGAGAGTATCTCACCTGCACAGCAAAGACTGGCAAGCTACCGAGAGTATTCAATATGCCAAACACAGTAACAAGTCTCACAATGGAGACATTACTGGGCTTACTAGAGCAAACTGATGAACAATGGGGTATCCTAATTTTATATTAAATTTTTTTTGCTCATTTTCTATTATGGTGTTTATGACTTTACTGATATTTTAATAATTTTGAAACTTTTGTATGTTATTTGTACTAAAATGTTTTCTCCCATGTCACTTATGTTTATAATAGCATTAGTTTTAGCTAGATTCTTACAAAGCTTAAACTTCCTATTTTACATTTAATGGTTCTTGGGTCATCTGTTCTGCTTAGAATATTACTCAGGGACCAGAATGACAGTATGGCAATAAGGCATAGCCTTATTTGCCTAGCATGCGGCCAACCGGGGTTCGACCCTTGGCATTCCATGTGGTTTCTCCAATCACTGATTTTTCATTTATTCAGGGGTGATACCTGGCAGTGCTCAGGGATTATTCCTGACAGGGCTCTGGAGAATACACAGGGAGCCAGAGATCAAACATGGTTTGGCTATGTGCAAGGCAAGTATCCTAACTACTGTACTTCAGCCCCACTCAGTCTTTAATATAGCTAGATTTTACTTAAATTTTTAAAAAAATAGCTTATTATTAATAGTATTGTAAAACTAATTTTTAAAGATAAAAATAACTAATTATTCCAACCAATTTTTAATAAATTATCCACCAAACTCCACAGTCATCTTTATAGTAAATTAAGCTCTCTTTAAATATTCAGCTGTTTTTATTTTTTGTACCATTCCATACTATCAACACTTTGACATCTCATACACAAATGCCCAAGCCTGTTTATTCAAAATCTTGACTTTGCAGTATATTAATTCCTCCAAACAAGCTTTAAAATCCATGCGTAAACTTACCTGCTGACACTCGTCTTGCTATTTTACGTGAACTTATAAAGGGCAGATTATCTTAGGAACATAACAGGCTTCTCTATTTAAGCCATTTCTCTTATCAAAATTCTGTTTCTTTAATAACTATAATTTCTTAGCATTTTCTTTTTACTTGTATGTGTGTCTGTTTACCAACTCTACATAAATAAAACTTTTTTCGGCAATATCTGAATAAAACATCATCCTGTACTGAAATGATAGTATCATTAAAAAATCTTTACGAACTATTTTAGCTAACATATTCTGTACTTTCTCTTTTTCAAAGAGGCAACACCTAGTGCTGCTTGAGTGCGTACCCCTGGCTCCGCACTCAGATTTCACTCCTGGTGAGACCTTGGGGTAGAGGCGTATATGGAGTGTTGGGGATCAAACTGTGATTGGCCATACGCACGGCCTGATTTCATCTTTTCTCATAATCTACACCTAAACCACTGCATTGTATCTCTTCAGACCCTCCATGACTTTCTATGAAAGTCTAATATTAATCTAAATCAGTAACCTTCATCCCTTTCAAGACTGAACAGTAGTGAAAATAAATTTATTTCGTAGACTACTAAGGTAGAAACACAAACCATTACTTTTGGGATGTGTAGATATCCCAAAGGGCTGGAGTGTACTTTGCAGGCAGGTGGTCTGGCTGGGTTCAATCCCTAGCTCTACACTCTCCCTCAGCACTGAGCCAAGGGCAGTCCGAGACCACTAAATGTAGCCCCCAAACCAGGAAAGCAACAAACATTATTTGTAAAAATATATATGCAAATATATACTTATATCACTATCCTCCCGTTGTTCATCGATTTACTTGAGCGGGCCCAGTAACACTGTGAAACTTGTTACTGTGTTTGGCATATCAAATACATCACGGGAAGCTTGCCAGGCTCTGCCGTGCGGGAGAGATACTCTCAGTAGCTTGCCGGGCTCTCCCAGAGGGGCAGAGGAATCGAACTCGGGTGGGCCATGTTGGCTGCGTGCAAGGCAAACGCCCTACCCGCTGTGCTATCACTCCAGCCCATATACTTATATATAAGTACTATAATCATACCACACAAAATTCTGATATACCATATATTATGTAGCCCCAAATCTTGTCTTATTCAAATGGGCAAGAAGCTTCTGCAGACAAGTTTTTGAAAACCACCAAAACTGTATTTATTTATATATATAAGAGACAAAGTACACACACCAAGAATGTTTAGTAGGATTAAGTGAATGCTTTTAAAGTATGTTCAGAAGATTCAGTGAATACTTCTGTTCCATCAGAAATGGCTGCCAGGTACGTAAATGGAGAACATAGAGGTAGGAGGGGAAGAAATACTATAATTATCAATTTCTTTTATGAACGGGCTGGAGCGATAGCACAGCGGGTAGGGCGTTCGCCTTACAAGCGGCCAACATGGCCGACCCGAGTTCGATTCCTCCGCCCCTCTCGGAGAGCCCGGCAAGCTACCGAGAGTATTCGATATGCCAGACACAGTAACAACAAAGTCTCCAATGGAGACGTTACTGGGCCCGCTCGAGCAAATCGACGATCAACGGGAGGGCCTTTACCTTTACCTTTACCTTTTATGAACACGGGAACAGGATACAGTGACATAAACATTAAGAATATGCCATAAATGCAAACAATAAGGACATGAATACAATTTCCAATAGAAGGCATTGTTACATAATACTTCTCTAGAAGTAGTCATTGTTAATAGCTAGTAAATTTCTTACACGACAAATACTTGTTAGTCTTTTTAAAAGTCATCCAAAAGGCATGGACAGAAACTACGAAATCAAGAAAAAGGGGTTTCAGCAATTTCAACACTTACAATTCAATTTCAACCATGCCTTTGGTACATCCTCTCTTCACAAAAAAACCAACCTAAGATATAAAAGAAGACAAATGAGCTATATGATGACATCCACGGTCAACAGTCTCAACAAACTCATACTTTGCCAGATCAAGTTTCTTCCAGTAACTACTTGCACGGTGCACTGCCATCACTTTCTGAAGGCACTCACTTTCCATTCCTCGTACCTGCAAGTAGTATTAGATACCATACTATCTGCTGAAACTTCTGCAAGCCAGGAACTAAGCTGCTGGATATGAACCCTACGTGCTTTCGGCTTCATCACTGAACTGCCTCTATTCCTCTTCCCAGAGAAACTTACAGTGCCCTTATGAGCACCCCTAATCTCCTGAGTTTATCTTTAACTTTTCCTTTGTGCTTTCCCTCTCACTGTTACATTCCCTAAGTCAGTCCTGGTTACTTTTAAGTCAAAACTTCTGGTGATTCTGGACTTTGTATTTGTAGTGAATTACTCGCTCTTCTATTTCCCCTATAGCCTTATTCATATTTTACTATAGAGCAATGTTCTTTGCTTAAACACAGGAAGACCGTTAAAGCTATGCTCCTAATATTTGGGAGTTGACGGACTTTGAAATAAATCTACTCCTGGACAGCCATCATAATTACCTGAGGTCAGACTTCAGTTGCTGTAGTTCCTTATACCCCAAAATGTGGTGGTGGTGGGGGAGGGGGGGTCCCACCATGGTACCTGGATGAACCTGGGGCAAGTGGCAAAGCGACCATGGTGTTGAAATGGGACAGTCTAGAAAGCACAAAAGCGCAGTCTTGAAGCAAGTCAGTACGACTTTAGAGACAGGACACCCATAGGAAAGGGTGAACTGACCTGAGGACTTGGTCTGCGACTGATAGTAAAAGCCATGCTTGCCCTCAGAGCCCAGAGAACTAAGTTTTGAAATCTAAATAATAATCATCCACCTGCCTGTTTGTCCTGCTGCCCATGGGAACCCTTCGGCTTTTTACAAATAAAGACCCTTTTTTGAGTGTGGAAGTAGAAGGGAGTGGAAGGAAGACTTATACAGAGGTGTATCAAATCTCGCTGGTATTGGAGATTTCTATGGAATCACAGAGACTAAATATTGACCACTCTGGTATTACCCATCAATACTAATCAAAATCAATTATCAGCATCCTTTTCATTAAACATTAAAATACACATTGTTTTAACATTAAAATATACATTATTTTGGGGCTGGAGCTATAGCACAGCGGGTAGGGCGTTTGCTTTGCACATGGCCGACCCAGGTTTGATTCCCAGTATCCGATATGGTCCCCCGAGTACCATGTTTGCCTTGCACGCGGCCAACCCGGGTTCGATTCCCAGCATCCCATATGGTCCCCTGAGCACCGCCAGGAGTAATTCCTGAGTGCACGAGCCAGGAGCAACCCCTGTGCATCCCCGGGTGTGACCCCAAAAACAAACAAACAAACAACAACAAAAAGACATTATTTTAACATTAAAATACACATCTTGAGCTATGCATAGATGCGCATAAGCACAAGAAAGGCACAAAAGGTAAAATAAAATGACTATTTTGGTTTTTTTGGTCACACCTGACAGGACTCAAAGGTATTGCTGACACGGAATTGGTAGTCAGCACAGTACCAGAGACCAAAACTAGATCTCTGACACTGATATCAGGCACTAAGGCCCTTTGAGTCATCTCTCCAGCCATCTTGGGGGCCACTACGGGGTGCCAGGTATTCCAGCCCCCTGTGAGCAGTTACTGTTAAGGAGTGGAAAGCATGAGGCTGGGAAGAGAGTACAAAGATTAAGGCGCCTGTCTTACTTGCTGTTAACCACGATTCAATCCCAGCACATGTTCCCAAACATTGAGCATCATAGCATATAGCCCTAGAGAGTCCTGAGCTACCAGGGGTGGTCGGGGTAATCCCTGACACCCCCAACTCAGTTGGCAAAGCAGCAGAGAGAGGTATCATTTTGATGCTACACCTGGTGGTACTCAAGGATCACTCCTAGTAACGCTCAGGGGATCATATGCACCGGCATGGATAGGCCTGAAGTCTGCCGCATGCAAGGCAAGGGCCTTAACCCCTGTACTCTCTCTGGTTCCCAGAACACCAGGGCTTATACTCAGTCTGTCACTGCCAAGCAGACACTTTAAGTCACTGAACCAACTTCTGAGCCCCCAGTTAAGAATTCTCAACCACTTTTATTTCTCCACTATCTTCAAAACTTATAGTGAGGAACCCACTATTTCTTTCTGTGATGTGGCTTCTCTGTTAGACAGAGCAGTTTGGCCTCTAAATGTCTGTGACCCTTCCCCACAGTCAGGAATCAACCCCCCACCTCACCCTTTCCATTGTGTGCAACCATTTAAAGCCAGATTTTAAGTATACGTAAGCAAATCTTCCCAAGAAAACAACTCCGGAGCTGATCTATGTCTTTAGATTAATAGAATTGTTTCTGCCCTTGGTAAGTTTGTTTTGCCTGTCCACAAACCCAGCAATACATTTTGAAAGATGTATTTATTTATTCTGGTTTGGGTGGGGGGCCACACTTGGCTGACTCCTGCTCTGTGCTCAGCGATCATTCCTGGCAGGGCTCAGGAGATCACAGGGGATGCTGTCGGCTGAACCTGGGTCAGCAACATGCAAGGCAAGCACCCCACCTGTGGCACCATCACTAAAGCCCCAGGTGTACCATACTTTAATTTTAAGATTTTAAGTACCTTGTACTTGAATTCTCCAAATATTTAGTCAAGACACTTTAAGAAGCAGTCTATTGTCTCAGCCACTCGGCCGGGTAGGGCGTTTGCCTTGCACGCGGCCGACTCGGGTTCGATTTCTCTGTCCCTCTCGGAGAGCCCGGCAAGCTAATGAGAGTATCCCGCCTGCACAGCAGAGCCTGGAAAGCTCCCCATGGCACATATGCCAAAAACAGTAACAACAAGTCTCACAAGAGAGGCGTTACTGGTGCCCGCTCGAGCAAACCGATGAACAATGAGAGGACAGCGCTACAGTGCTACTTCTAGAAATGGAAAACCACAACTTCTATGCATGCCAACTTTGCTGTTCATATGCAAGCCCTAGCCATACATAAGGAACTGAAATGAATAGAAATTCATTTGTCACAGAACAAACAAATAATAGCTCTGAATTGTTTTGCTACTGTTGTTTAAAGTACTCATGTGAACTCACCTTATCTGCCCGACCCATGAAAGCAGGTTTGCCTGCTAATCCAAGGCAAATGGCACACACAATGCTGGACTTCCCTGTTCCATTAGCTCCAATAATCATATTCAAATGGGGTCCAGGAGATACTTCACAGATATCATATGTCCTAGATTACAAAAAGATAACATTAATAAACAGAAATAAGTGAATTAGACTTTATTTACAAAAGCACATTTTCTTTATGTAACCTACAAGCTTCTGCAAATCCCTTTTAGTGACAGAATTTTATTACCATTAAGAGCGGAAAAAAAAAGTCATAGAGGCAGACTGGGATGGGGTAGTGATGGGAGGGAAACTGGGGACCCTGGTGCTGGGAATTTACACTGGTGAAGGAACGGGTGTTGGAACACTGTATGACTGCAATGCAATCATAAACAATTCTGTAATGCTCTATCTCACAAAGATTCAATAAAAAAAGGGGGGGATTAGAAAAATGGAAAAGCAATTATGTATTTTTTTGCAAAAAAAAGGAGAAAAAAAGCAATAAATCTTTAGGGAAATATGACCTTTACAAACATCAGTCTTCTGGTGAGGTAGAACATTCATTTGATGAGAAACATTAGGTTAGGGAAGGGATCAAGTATCAGTCTATTGAATAAGGTAAGGTAAAGGTAAAGGCCTTCCCGTTGATCGTTGATTTGCTCGAGCGGGCCCAGTAACGTCTCCATTGGAGACTTTGTTGTTACTGTGTCTGGCATATCGAATACTCTCGGTAGCTTGCCGGGCTGGAACGATAGCTACCGAGAGTATCTTGCCCGCACGACAGAGCCTGGCAAAATCCCTGTGACGTATTCGATATGCCAAGCACAGTAACAACAAAGTTTCCAATGGAGATGTTACTGGGCCCGCTCGAGCAAATCGATTGAATAAAGCAAAATTTTTTTTGTTTGTGTTTTGCTTTTTTTGGTCACACCTGGTGATGCACAGGAGTTATTCCTGGCGGTGCTCAGGGGACCACATGGGATGCTGGGAATCGAACCCGGGTCTGCCGCGTGCAAGGCAAACGCCCTACCTGCTGTGCTATCTCTCCAGCCCCATAAAGCAAAGTTTTAACAGTATTTATTCTTTACTCTTATCTCTCTCTCCTCTCTTTCTCTCTCTCTCTCCCTCTCTCTCTCTCTCTAGCTTTCTGGGTCACACCAGGCATTGCTCAGGGGTTACTCCTGGCTCGGTACGTAGGAATCACTCCTGGCCGTGTTTGGGGGACCAAATGGGATGCTGAAGATCGAACCCAGGTCAGCCACGTGCAAGGCAAATGCCCTACCCATTATACTATCACTCAGGCTCTGATTTACTCTTTCTTAATAGTAATACACAATACAATGCATCCAAGCTACCATACAAATAATTTTTTTAAAGTTTCACATAAGCCATAGGTCACCTTTAACTTAGATTTTATGTTTCTGTTTCTCTTTAATTAAAATGCTTTAGAGCTTGTTGGTGAGGAGTAAAGGGCATGAATGTTAGCGGGGACAGTGCTTGTCTTGCAGGTGGCCGACCCCGGTTCCTGGGTTCAATCCCCAGCATCCCGTCTGAGCATAAGAGCATCACCAGGAGTCATTCCTGAGTGCAGAGCCAGGAGTAAGCCCTGAGCATCACCAAGTGTGGTCCAAAGAAACCCCAAACCAAATCAAAGTCCATTATCTCCCTATATGGTATGACCCTTACCCTACCCTCACTATGTGTGGCCCAGTGAGATCATGACAACCACCACATCCAGAACTTTATAAAAAAAAAAATTGACACCTTAGAGCAACTTCTCACATTTTAATATTTGAAACAATCCAAAATGTTTGTTCCAATTAGAAAACTTTGTAAGTGTATGTCAACCCTATGGCTTCATTTTATTAGCTTAAAGTTATTTTCCTCTGCAATGCTGCCAGAGATTCAACAAAGAATTCACTGAAAACTGTATTAGCATTAAGTTACGTTACAATATCCCTCATAAAAGAAAACCACAAGTGCAAAAAAGCTACTAGCAAGAGCAGCACCAATCCTTATTTATCCATTAATTGCCAGTGACAGTTATGGCCAATGTGAAGCAAACTCTGATGAAAATATTCATCTAACTTGTCTCTGAATGGCCCACACATATAAAGTCTTGTTCCCAAAGACTTTCCGTTAGCTGCCATCGAATCCCCAAGAATAAATGCTCAGCTCGCTTCTAATCTGCTAAATACAAAATTAAACCAAGCACACTTCAAGTTTAGTACTCAAAAATGCCAGGTGGTAACCAAATAAGTACAGGTAGTTAAGGAGTGACCCCAGTGAGTGCTCAGGGGACCATTAAGTGGTGCTGGTTTCAGTCAGAGCCACAGCAGCCCGTCAAGACAAGAGCTCTAGCTCCGCTACCATCTCTTTGCTCAGGAACCATTTAGTGATTAAAATATAACTAGCTTGGGAACTTTACACATTTGAAAAATCACCTACCTTGGAACTTTTATTCATTTATTTTGGCCAGAGACCATGTGGGGACAGGACCAAAGTTGGCCACATACAAGGCAAGTGCCTTAAACTCCTGCACTATTTCTCTAGACCGCTGACTTGGAACTTTGTAATCCCAATACATAAAGCCCCATTCTTTTTTTTCTTTTGGGGTGTGTGTGTAGGCGGGGGTGGGGGGTGGGCACACTAGGCAGTGCTCAGGTCTTACTCCTGGCCCTGCACTCAGGGCAATCCTAGCAGGCTCAGGGGGACATACTGGGGGATGGGGTAGTGGGGAGGGGCCATATGAGGCGCCAGATACTGAACAAAGGTAAGACACCAGCAAGACAAACAGCCTACCACCAGTACTTTCTCTCTGGCCCAAGCCCCATTCTTTAATTTTTCCCTCCTGTTTTAATGTATTGAATCATGGATGAGATACACAGTTACAAGTTGTTCATGATGGGCTTTCGATCATACAATGTTTCAACAGTCCCTTCACCAGTGTTCCTATCCCACTGCCAATGTCCCCAGTTTTCCTCCTCCACCTGGCCTCAGCCTGCCTCTAGTACTGCCACTTTTCAAGCTCCATATTCATTCTCTCTCTCTCTCTCTCTCTCTCTCTCTTTCTCTCTCTGTCATACCCACCGATGCTCGAGGATTTCTCCTGGCTCTGCACTCAGGAATCACTTCTGGCAGTGCTGGGGTACCATAGGAACGCTGGGGGTCGAACCCAGGTTGGCTGCATGCAAGGCAAATGCCCCACCCGCTGTTATTATCGCTCCAGCCCTGAGCCCCTTTAACACTTGTATTTTAACAAGTTTTCTGTTGTTTTACTTAACTAGTCGTGCCACTGGTATTTAGAGAAAACATAACTGGCTAATGAAATAGCACAGGCTGTGTTAAGATACTTGTCTTGCATGCAGCAGCACTGTTCAATGAGAGGGAAGGAAGGAAAGCAGGCAATTTCTAGTCTAAAACAGACAACTCTTATAAATGAAAGAACTCCCAAGCACAAAACAACCCCCCCGGCCAAAAAAATAATTGCTCCAATTCTATGTTTATTGGGAATTCCTTATTTGTGTGTTTTGTGAGCTCCCCTGGGGAAAATTTCTGTCAGAAGTTTGTCCTCTTCTCAAGTCTATATGCCCTGCCAATAATACAATTGAAAGCATGACTGAATTAGCATCTACAAGCTATAAATCGACCTGGATGACCGAGAGAGGCAGTTACCAATCATCCTACTCTACTTGTATACCACACAACAGTCACCTCAAATTTAACACATTTAAAATGAATTCAAAATTAATTCTACTGTGGTCTGCTAGTGGAACCATCATTATTCTCCTACTGCTCAAATTGGAAATCTAGGTATTACTTTGATTTCACCTCTTTCATCCGATGCATCTACCCTCTTACCATCCCATCAATCACCAAATCCTACTAGCAGACATGCAAATTAGATGTCACTTGTTAAAAAAAAAAAAGAAACACTTTGTAATTTAGCTCTAGCTTCATCTTTTTCAATCCTCATGAATTCTTTAATCAAACCATTACAGTGTACCTCAGTGCATTTTTCCCCGTGTTTTCTCCTTTCACCTGGTTACCAGCTATTCCTTTAGTGGGTGCTCTCTGCCTTCCCAACTGACCTGACCTGTGAAACTAACGAATCAACTCTTTCCTTTATTACTTTCTTCTGGGCCATTTTCGGTTCTGGAAACCAAGGCCTTCCGCCTTCATTGCTAAAACTTGGAATTCCTGCTCCTGTAAAACTAAAACCTTGCCTTATTCTTCATTTTCCAGCTACCTTTCCTTCCTCCCCTCACAGCCAAACATTAATTTCGCACAGTCATTCATTCTTCCGTGACTTGTAACGTCTTAAGGGTTTTCTGCTGTTGACAATCAAGAGGCCTAATTGCCGGCAGCTGTGGGCTCTTTTCAGTCCCGTTATCGAAACAGCGTAGCAAGCAAAAGTTTGAAACACTCAATGTAGCAAGCGAAAGTTGGAAAAACTCCTTTCCTTTGGTTTCTTAGTTAACAACTCTCCCTCCAGTTCTCCTCTGACATCCCTGGATCAACCCGGGCTCAGTTCCTTCCCTTGAGCGTGCCTCTTCTACTGGCAATAAATACTCAGGGATTCTATCCTCAACCTTTGATTTCTCCTATTTACAATTCCTTTCGGGTGCTCTCGCCCATTCCTGCAGCTTCCACAATCTCCTATACGCAGGAGAATCGGTGATCTCTCACCTCTTCCACCTTCCTGACAGCTCCAGACCCTTTGCAACGACTGCCTGCGGGAAGACCCCCCTCCCTTCCTTTCCAGCTGATCTCCTGGACACTTCACAGGGTCCGAAAGGAGCTTCTTCTTATTCTCCTAAATTCTCTCTTCTAGAATGTACCCCCTCGGGCCAGTTAGCTGCACTCCTCTGGGATCCTCCGAGCTTCATCAGGACGAATGAATGGGCAGCCAGATCCTGGCAAACCTCTTCTCTCTCTCTTCCCACTCCTCCTCCTCCGGATCTCACCCACAACAGTCCTTGCTTTTTTTTTTAAGAAAGCGCGGCCAAAAATCATCTTATCAGAACTTTTTTTTAATGACATCTTATTGTCTCATTACTACTTTGGACAAACTTGCAGGCTATGGAATGTAGCCTGCCCACAGGGCAGAGTCTGGCAAACTCCCCGTGGCGTACCAAATATGCCAAATACCAGTAACAATGATGGGTCTCTTTCTCCTAAAGAGCCTTGAATATAATCTCAGGGCTAGGATGAAAGAGACGTTACTGGGGCCTGCTCGAGGCAATCGACGAATAACAGGATGATGAAATGAAAAATGAAAAGAAAGCCTTATTTGTCTCCCAAACTCGCTTTGTTTTTAAATCAACCCTCCCAAGAGTCTCCTGCAAAGTCACCCTTTACACAACGCTGCTAGGTTGGGTCTCTCTCCCCGGGACTCCTTCGCAACTTACTGAGTGCGGTGGTGGTGGTAGTGGGGGGGGGGGTCGCAGCGATGCTCAGAGACACCGGCCCCACTCCTTTGGGGGTGGTACCCAGCCCTCACCTCCACGCGCATCCTAGTAGATAGAATCCAACTTCCCCCCGACGACGCCGCTCCGTTAAACCCTGGACCACATCCCCGAATCTCGTCTCATCAGCATCATCCGCTGTGGTCCACGCTCCCCTTGCCCCCCCAGGGAGGCAACCCGGGTCGCCGCAGGTGGAGGGGCTCCCCGTCCCCCTCACCCAGGGCTGGATCGTTTTTTTTGTTTTGTTTTGTTTTTTGTTTTGTATTTTGTACATTTCACCTGCCGGGCCCAGTCCAGCCGGGCAACTGCCTCCCGGCGGCCCCGCGGGCTCCCAACTGTTGTGATTTGGCACCAAGTTCCCGCCCCCCCACCCCGGGGCCCGGCCCGAAACCCTTCTCCGGCGGGGATGGGGGGGTCCCTTCCCAGGGGTGGTGGGTCGGGGGTCCCCTGGCCCACCAGGGCGCTGCCTAACATCCCCACGACGTCGTCGGCAGAGCCGGGTGGGGAAGAAACCCACCTGGACGCACGAGACCTTACTGCCCCCCCCCCCCGGCCCCAGGTCGGACGACCCCCACCCCCCAGCCCCACCCGGCCGGCCCCCCACTCACAAGAAGTTCTCCATCGCGATGCGGACGATCGCGCCCTCCACGAAGGGCCCGGACGACGCCTGCAGCGGCGGCGGCGGAGGCGGAGGCGGAGGAGGCGCGGCCGAGGGCGCGGGCAGCGGCTGCAGCGGCGCCGGCGGGGCCGAACTCCGTCGCTTGCTCGGGACCTCGGACGCAGAGTCTCGCGGGGGAGCCCGCTTGGAGGGGAGGGAGCCGGGGGTCGACGTCCTCCGGCCGGGAGTCGCCATCCCGCCGCCGCCGCCGCCGTCGCCGTCGTCGCGGCGCTCAGCTCCCGCGCGAACTGCCCGGCGCGCGACTCCGCCCCGCGCCTGCGCACTGCGCGCCGCGAGTGCGCGCGCGCGCGCGTGCGCGTCACAGGCCCCGCCCCCTCGGGCTCAGCTGGCCCAGCTGCTGCTTGCTAGGCCCAGGCCCGTGCAGGCCGGACGTTCCCTGGCCCGCGTTCTGCCGTTGTTTTGTTTTTTTTTTGTTTTGTTTTGTTTTTTTGCTTTTTGGTGTTTGGGTTTTGGGTTTGGTTCTGATTTGTTGTTGGGGTCCTTGGGTAGCAGCCGCCCGCCCGCCCGCCCCTTTCGCGTCCTCCAGGCCCTTCCAAGCGCTCCCCGAGTTGGGAGGCCCGTTGGAGGGAGGCGTCCCCCGAGGGCCACCAGGGCCACCAGGGCCACCGGGCAGGGATGGGCAGGACCATCCTCCAGGCCACCCGCCGATTTCAGCCTGATGGACGTCAGACTTTAAGGGGCCTCAATGAAATACGAAGCGATAACAAAAATCGCTTCCCAGCCAGGCAGTGTCCTGACGTGTCTTATTTATTTTTCATTTTTTTAAAATTTATTTATTAGTGAAACACCACGAGGTACAGTTATAGACTTATAAATTTTTGTGCTTGGGTTTCAGTTATATAATGATCGAGTACCCAACCATCCACTAGCACCCATCCTCCACCACCATGGGGTCCCAGCATCCCTCCCACCCTGCCTCTGTGGCAGGGCATTCCCTTTTGTTCTCTCTCTCCTGTTGGGTCTTGTGATTTGCAAGAGAGGCATTGAGTGGCAATCATGTTTGGTCTATAGTCTACTTTCAGCATGCTTCTCTCATCCTGGGAGGATCCTCCCAACACCCTTTATTTGGTGCTCCCTTCTCTATCTAAGCTGCCCTTTCCCCTAGAATGGCCGGCTGGCCTCTAAGCTATGGAGTAATCCTCCTGGTACTGATCTCAGCTATTCTTGGGTATTAATCTCCTATTTTGTTACTTTATCTTCCCCAGATGAATGCAATCTTTCTATGTCTATCCCTCTCTTTCTGACTCATTTCACTTAGCATGATACTTTCCATGTTGTACCACTTGTATGTAAATCTCATGACTTCATCTTTTTTAACAGCTACATAGTACTCCATTGTGTAGATGTACCAAAGTTTCTTTGACCAGTCATCTGTTCTCGGGCGCTCAGGTTTTTTTCCAGATTCTGGCTTTTGTGAAGAGTGCTGCAGTGAACAAACAAGTGCAGATGTCACTTCGACTATACTTTTTTGAGCACACTGCACTTGCTCTGTCCAGCTTGGGAAAAGGATGAACTGGCCCACCCAAATTGGCCTCATTGCTACACTACTCCTCCTCACTCCCTTTTTCACTGACACATCCTTGCCCCCGAGGTTTCTAGAAAGACCCGAGCTAGAGCTAGAACGCAAACATCACGAAGCCCTTAGGCCCACCAGCTCTCAGCCCCTCCCCCCTCCCCGTTAAGGATGAGGTGCAGAAGGTCTGTGGAGACCATCACTCACCCAAACCAATGCCTCGTCTAGACATCCAAGATCCAGTTCGTGATCAGACTAATTTAAGATAGGGTGATAGGGAAAAAAAAATCAATGTGATAAAGCCCTACGAGGAATCTGAGAGGCAGAGGGAGATGGTTTCAACTAATGTCAAGGACAAGAGCCACCTGCCAGGGCCTGGGGAAATAGTACAGCCGCTAGGGCTCTTGCCTGGCCGAACTGGGTTTGGCGTCGGCAACCCCATGGTCTCCTAAGCCCCCAACCAGGACTGATTCCTGAGCACTGCATTAAATGAAGAGCCAGCCTTGGCCCCCAAACAAAAACCAAGAGCCGCTTGCATTAAATGAAGAGATTTCAAGCAAGGACGGCTCCCTTGAACAGTAAAAATGAAAAGATTTCAGGCAAGGACAGCTACCTTGAGCAGTAACAATGAAATTAGGCGACAAGATCGGTGATAATCTTGGCTATACTGGACTTGGGGGAAGCATTTCAGGGGCCTGAAGAATGTTGCCTTCTCTCCTCTTCCAGATAGGGTCTAGTGGCTTTTAGTCAGTGACTCCCATTTGGCAGATGTTTTTCCCTGCCTCTGGGGCACCCCACTAGTTGCCCTATTGCTGCACAGATGCCGTGTTTGCCAAGCTGTGTCTTTTACACCCACTTTCAAACCTTCCTGCAAAAGGTCAGTGCCTCAGCTTCTGACTTGATATTCTCTCTCCACTATGCTGTATCACCTTGTGGTTTGTTTCTGGTTATTGCATATTTGGGCTGGAGTGATAGCTCAGCAGTAGGGTGTTTGCCTTGCACGCAGCAGGCCCAGCCGAGCTGGGTTCAATTCCTCCATCCCTCTTGGAGAGCCCAGCAAGCTACCAAGAGTATCTTGCCCGCATGGCAAAGCCTGGCAAGCTCCCCGTGATGTATTCGATATGCCAAACACAGTAACAACAAGTCTCATGATGGAGATGTTACTGGGCCCGCTCGAGCAAATTGATGAACAACAGGAGGACAGTGACAGTGCTACTGTTTATTTATGTGGAAGGTGCTGTCACCTCCTCCTCTAAGCTCTTCCTTTCCTGCCCTCATTGGGGAATCTGCCTGTCTTGGCAAAAATGGGACTGACTCAGGGAAAACGATCCTAGTTATGCAGAGGCATACTCCCCTCTGTTGGTTTTGCTCCTAATTGACCATTCTCAATATCACCCTCCCAATTCTAACATCAGCCTGGATGGGGATTTCCATTGTGTTGTCAGTGCAACCCATTCTCCTGGCAAGGATCAGGCAAGGATTCCTACTTCTAGTTCTGCTGACTCACAGAGTAAGTGACTCAAAGTAGGGGAGGTCTCAGTGGAAGGTTTTGTGAAAGGGTCCTCTCTTCTTCTCCTCTGGGAAGTTTTGTGAAATGTTCCTCCTTCCCATATAGGTGGAAGCTTTCAATTCTCCTCTTATTCATTGGGCAATAGTTTGAGGCTCCATCACTTGGCACATAAGCAGGGAATATCTGCTTTGGCCTTACCCCCCGGGTATTTTTTTGTGAGGCAGAGACTGTACTCTCCCTGCTTGGGTTTTCACCCACTGGACCATGGCTTTATTTGCCCTGCCTTGGGTAAAAACGCATACTGAGTGGTGGCGTTCTGGCCCATGGGACAAAGGGATTCAGGCCATTGGGGTTTTGCCCTCTTGGAGGTAAAGCACCTCAGCACCAGGGGGCCTCTTCTGTTAATGACTTTGATTCAACAAATGCAGCAGCAGTCAACTGGTCAGATCTCTACGTGTACTTAGAGATCCCGCAGGCAGGCAGGTCATGGGTGGCGGCCTCCTCTCCTGATCTTATCTGGAGCATCAGAGATGTAGTCAGGCTCCAGGAACACAGGGACACCTTGTGCAGGGCTTCATGCCACTGGTTTTTTACCTGGTGGGCATTAGGATATAGGCCTGGTGGGATGTGGAGAAGTAGAGTGCCACTGGACCGGGGTGCCTTTTGTTCCTTATGAATCTGCATCTGTGAACTTAGCAGAAATTGGTTCAGAGGAATTCCTTTATGCAGGCTAGCAGTGAGGTGCATCTCTCCCAATCTCTGGTCTCATTCTCCAAGGTTATTTTATAAGGGACATCAAAATCGAACCCATGGGACAAAGGGACCCCTTGTGCATGCAACTTGTGTCACTGGGTTTTAGACCTGGTGGCCACAAAGTTTCAGGCGTGTTAAGAGGTAGATGGTCATAATATTACCAATCACAGCAGAAGTTGGCTTGGTGAGTCTCCATATTTACTCAAAGTGCCCTCAGGTAGGCCATGGGGCTGGGAGAAGTATCCTATGGTCTCTGGTTTCATCTCCCAGGACCATTCCCTGTGAACATGTTTTAGACAGCACCATACCTTTGGTTTTCTAATGGTGACACTACCCCATGCCCAAGAGTTTATAAGCACTGAGTGGAGGTTCTGTGCATCATGCTAATTGATTTTTATTTACAGGGAGTGGCTCTTTGCACTTCATCCATGGCTTTTCAACAGCTGTGCAATAGCACTCTGGCCCATGCAGCTATAGATTTTTTTTTTACATACTGCCTGAGAACTAGCTAATCCATGGGACAAAAGGACACCACATACATGAGATTTCACCCACTTCTCATCAAAAGCTCTCAGGTATGTTGAGAAGTGGGACATCTTACCAAAATATCTCCTTTGCTTGTGTGTTTATAAGCTCAAGAGGTAGGCTGCTCTGGTTATGGGGGAGAGAGATGAACAGGAGGAGTTTGGGGTCATTTTGGAGGGACGTGGCCTCTTCAGGGGTGGGTGTAGTGTTGAACAATGTATGCAGGAAATGGTCATTAGCAATATTATAAATCATGGTGCGTCTATAGAAATGGTGGGGAGGGAGTGGCAGGGATGCTGGCCTTGGGTTCCATGACTAGCCCAGGAAAGCTGCTTAAATTGACTTCCTGGATCTATTACAACTGAAAACTGAAGGAGAAAAGCATCTGAGAAGGGACAATAGGAAAGACGCCTGAACCCTCCCAGGGGTGATGGCTGAGCAAAGAGCCAGGAGTAAGAAGCCCTGAGCACTGCTAGGTGTGGCCCAACAAAGCGCCCCCCCCCACTCCAGCACCCCAACCCTGCCTCCAACCACATCTTTTGTACTGTGTTCTTTCCATAGCACTGATTTTTGCTCAGATTTTTGTTATGCCCTTCCTTCTGCTTACTTTGGGCTCTTAGATGTTCTTTCAGTTTCTTGAGATGAAATTAGGTAATCTGTTCTTTCCTGATAAGTGCCTGCAGTGCTGTAAAATTCCCTTTTAGTTCAGCTTTGCCATGTTGCATAGATTCTGGTAGCTCACGGCTTCACTCTTGTTTGTATCAAGGAATCTTTTTCTTTTTCGATCCCTTCTTTGATCCAAGGAGTGAATTGTTTAATGTCCAAATGTTTGTTTAATGTCCTAAGCTTTATGTTTTGTTTGTGCTTTATTTC